ATAAATATAAAATTAATATATTTAAATAAAAATAAAAATTTATTGATTTATTTAAAGACCAACAAATTTTATATATTCAAATAAACAAATAATAAAATTTGATTACAATCTATGCCTGTTCTCATTATACTGGAGCTGGAACCTACAAGTGAGTGATTGAATTAGCAAGATTATTTTCAGTTTAATCAAAAATTTTAGTTTCAAATCTTAAAAATATAGATTTGTTAAAACTCATGAGAGCAAATTTTGTGGTTTATTAAATCTTGTTTGATTCAAAATTAAATTACAGTAATTGATAAATCAGTGAGTTTTCGGACATGATAAAAACCAAAAGAAAATTTTACTGGAGCTGGAGTGACGGCGGGGGCGGGGCGTGCCAGAACGGAAATAGCTGGCGGCTACAGCAAGTATCACGCGAACTTTGGGTATGACTAGCATAGGCTTTTCGCACTCACGAGGAATACTGTGCCTGTGCTGTGCCAAGCTAAATAACAAAACCACCGCCGTTTCCGGTCTACGGACCCGAACAGTTTCTTTCACTTCATAAAGATTATTGGTTGATTGGTTCTTTTTTTTTTTCTTGGTTGATTGGTTGATTGGTTCTTTTTTTTTTTCTTGGTTGATTGGTTGATTTATCTTTTTTTTTTTTTGGGGGTTACGCGGAAGGTTGGTCTGGTCATAGGATTAGATTTCTACAGTCAGTGAAAGCGAAAGTGGCGGCGGCTCGGCTTTTTAAGTTTGAACTGAGTCAACGTTTCCTGCACTGGTCTTTTCGGCTCGGCTTCACCTCATAGCCGGCTTTGTTTATTAAAATCAGCGACCTAATCATCAGCACTCGTAGCGATAAAAAAAGGAAAATGTTTTTTTTATAATTTTTTATTTTATTTTTTCATATAATATGATGTATTATTAAAATAATTAATTTTTTTAATTTATGTAAATTTTATGATATTAAATGTATTTATTCATTTAATAACATATAAAAATTATATAAAAATATAAAACAAAAAAATTATTCATATAACACCACAAATAAAAAATTTGAGAAATTATGGTGTCATTTTACCTTTCAAAAAGACCTCAAAAACAATCATTAAAAGTCATGTAACTACGAAAACATTATAATTATAATATATATTTTATATATAATGAGAAATAATTTTTTTTATTTTTTATCTAATTTTATTCATATATCATGTAACTTGAATTTAAAATATTTTATTTTCAACAAAAGAAGATAATCACTTTAGTTATAATTATAATATTAAGT